GACTAAATAAAAAAAAGAAGGGTGGAAAAAAAAAAGTGTTTGTAAACTCTCAATTAAAACAACACAGCCTTTATATATATAATATATATAATATAAATGTATGTATACATACATAATAATATACATATATATATGTATGTATATTTAATTTGTAGAGTGGTGTGTTGATAAAAAAACAGATTTTTGTTGATGACGGTGCTTGTAGCAGTTAGTCCAGCAGGTGYTTTCAAAATATTTCAGCTGCTTACCTTGCTGTCCCGTGCTGGAGTTGAAAGTTCTGGCTTTCCCTGCAGTCTGCCCTGGCGGCGCTCGCTCGGGGTGGGCTGAGCAGTCGGGTCTGTGGCTCACAGCTGCCTTCTGCATCTTTCCAGCCCAACTCCTGAAGCACAACACGAGGATAAGGAAGAAGGGGGCCGACCTCGGGGAACTGCAAAGTGCAATTGAAGCTATCAAGGAAACGCAAGAAGATATTAARAGGTAGACTGAATAACATGCTTTGTAATTGCAAGAATATTCATTTTCTAGGTTTTAACGAGGGTTTTAAGTTGGCTAAGTGAAAACCAAGTGAACYACTTCAGATTTGAGCTCAAGAATTCTGGGATCGTTTTTGCGTTGGRGTATGAGGTGCACTGGAGTAGCTCAGAGAGAGACGCTGCTGCAGCAACGAGCCTGGTGCCTTCTGTGGTCGATGCAGGCTGTTTTCTGTGGAGAATTGTCAAGTTATGAATAGGGTTGTCTGAAATAAATGGCTTGGGGATTTCTGGTGTTGGGTCACTGAAAGGGTGTTTTTGTATTTCTTTTATTCMTTCCTGGAAAACTTTCAATCAGATTTCATTCCTTGTATGTTGGAGTGATGGCAGTATTTTTTTTTTTCAGAAGGTTATGAAAGGGTTTTGGGCCATGCATCTCTACAGTAGTGCTAGAAATCACCTGAGAGTTTCCATGGTCATCTCTTATTGTAGGATTGGGGCCAAATTTTGATTTTAAATCTCTTTGGAATTTGTCCTGCTTTCTGCGTAAATTCACTGATGTGGATTAGTTTAAGACAGAGGAAGAGTTAGATTCACTAAAGTAGAAATGAGGAAGCTCGGAGAGCAGAGTGATTTAAAAGCAGAGAACAAGCAGAGACTGAAACAAAAAGTTTTTCATATATATATATTGCTTCACACTATGTTTGTTTAAAACGCAATCTATGAAATACAAGAAATAACATGCCCATTCCCTAGCATTTGTTTTTCCTTAGAAAGTATTTAAAGGACCAACATAATTAAATCAAATATTGACTACTCCCTAATATTTAATAATTTTCCTAAAAAAAAAAAGTCTTTTGCAWGGATCCCTAACATGTTAAGAAACACCAGTTTGTCTTGCTTGTTACTTAGAGGATGTTATCTCTTCCAGGGACATTACGGCTCTACGAAATCGAGTCACTTCCAACCCACCCGCCGTGGACAGCCAATTTTTGCAGTTCAAGCACTATGTCATCATTCTGCTCGTGATCCTGCTCCAGCTTGGCATTAGTATCTTCTTGAAATAAGAAGCATGAACACGGGCCTTTCTGAACTGGAATGCTCAGACTCTTCCTGGGGACCATGTTTTAAGCGGGACTTTATTTGCTGCAATAGTATCTCAGAGAGCCTGGTAGCAACAACGTACGGAACTTTGTGCCGCAGTGCATGGTTCAGAGCCGTCCTCCTGTCTACCCAGTGGAAGTAAGAATCGTGCCAGTGCCAGTGCACCCTGCTCCTGGTGTGTGCCTCTCTTTGTCTCACGGACGTGCAACAGCAGCCTTGTGTTTTGCCGTAGGTCCTGCACTGCTCTGCTCCACCGTCACCGTGGAATAGCTCAAAATCCAAACTCGGAGCTCAGCCCCCGCTAGTCGGGCACGTTTCCTGTCTTGGTAGAATTATCAATAAGCAGAGTTTGTTACACTTAAACTTACTGGTTTTGGAACAAAGTCGCTTTGGAAGTAGCCCCCTTACAGACATTATTTGTAAGGGGGCTTGGAGGGAATATTGAGGGTTTGGAGGTCAACTGCTTTAGGTCAAACAAATACATTGTTATATGAAGCTCATGGAATGGGCAAGTGAAGAGCTAAAGTCTTTGAGACCTTTGCAATTTAATGTCCTTGATTTGTCTGTGCAAGTATGACAGTTTTTACTCTGAATTGTGATAAGGGCTTCTAAGCCAGTGGTTTTATTTTTACAATTTTTAAACCTTAAGTTTCCTCATAAAAGCATTCCTCCACCTAGCACCCGGAGCACGTTTYTAACAAAGCAGCAGCCAGGAAGGTACTGCCTTGGTCCACGTGTGCTTATGAGTTGCAAATGTCAAGGATTTGCAGTATGTTTGTAAGTTTTGATAAACTGGCAGCTTTGAACTTTTTGTATGACCACTTCACAGTCAGAAGACAGGCTGCTCATATCAGGGACTCTTTCTTATTCTGAAACAAAATGTTAACACGCAGTCGTGTCTGGTGTGTAGCTTGAGTTGAATCTCCCGAAGAGGAGACTGTGCAGAACAGAATTCAGCTGCAGCAGAGTCAACAGTTCACTTGCAAATGAAAATGTGTTTCCTAGGGGAAAGGCTTCAGAAACATCAACTAGGCTGGCTAACAAGACATGTACCAAAACAAACGTGAATGAAACCCTAAGTCTCTTTAAATTCTCCCTTGCTGCAGTATACACTATGTAACTTACTGCCCTGGTGCACCTAATTGCTATTCTGTGCATTAATTATAAAGCTTAAATTTTGATTTAAAGCCAGGGTTTTGAACATGTTCTGATTTGGAAAAAATACATGCATGTGCACAATTTGCAAAACTTCAGCAAAATAATTTAATGCTAGACAGTATAAGAGTAGCAAACAGATAGAGGTGTTTGTCTGCTGAGTTCCTAATGCCAGTTGAGCCTTTCCAGCTCCTGATCAAGCTGAAGAGGAGCTGGAGTAACATAGAGCCCAGATGGGACAGCGGGGTGACAGGAGAAAGGCTCTAAGGGGCAGCCACGTTGTTTTCCAAGATCCTGTTGGAAACCAAACACGTGCCAGCCTAGGGAAGGGTTCAGGCATCACTGCGGTGGTTGCTCCTCGGTGACACCTGAGGAGCAACCTCCCTATGCTCCCTATGCTCCCTATCCCTTAAATTAAGCATGAGGAGACTGCTGAGTTGGCTTGAGAGTAGCCACTGCCTCCCTGTAAATCCAGTTCTGCATCAGTACCGCCTGGTATTTAGTGAAAATACTATCTATTTATTTACTGTCACTCCAGCTCCTATGCTGCTGTGGCTGGCATCTCGGCTGCACCTCCACTGCCATTGGTTCCCTTGGGCCTCAGCTAAATAAGAGAGTTCCTTGCTGAAGTAGTCACCTTCTTACTGCTCACCTCTCACATTACCTGTAATTTGGTCTTGTTTCATGTTCTGGTCGCTTAACCAAGCCCAGTGGCCTCCTGTAAGTGGACATCACCGAAATGCATTGATCTCCTATCATGTCCGTAGCCCATAAGGCAAAATTTGTGAATGTAGAAGGGTCCTTTTTGTATTTTTTTTTTTTTAAAAAGGCGGGGGAAGATCCCTCACAGCAGAACCTGAAGTTGTTAGCAGAATAAAAGATGGCCTAATGAAAAGGAAAGCAGAGTATTCTAACATTTAAAGCTCCCAGCACTTAGACCATTCATTTTATCATTCAGATGTCAAAGTTCTGCCTCTTCTAGGATGTGCTACAATCCCTTAGGTGTGCTCTGTACATGAGAGGGATACATGAGGAAATGAGAGGGAGGTAAACACAGATTACAAATTTAGGCTATAGCTTAAGTCCTTGAAAGAGCACTCTGCAAAAATTTTGGTGCTGAAACTCATGAATGATGGTTAAGATTTATCATCTCTCTTGTAGATAGGAATGTGCTTCTTTCCTTCCATGATGGTTTTAATCACTTCTATTCAAAATCAATTGATAACCCCGTCTAGATGTGCTTGTATTCTCCTTCTCTGCTTAATTTTTAAGTTAGTTACGTTCTACACCGTGAAACTTTTCAAAGCAAAAGCTGCAGGCTTCTGCTTTGACTGAAAGATTACGGAAATACTAAAAAGCACAAGCCGCTAATCCCTATTTTGCTGAGTTTTGCATAATGCTCCCTCATGTGAATGGAACAGCAATTTCTTGATGACTTTTATAGCACAGCTGGTTGCAGGGCTTGTTTTTGAAGCCTTTTCTCTAGTGCATCCCTGTTTCACCACGATGTGCAGCAGATCTTGAATGTTACATACCTAAGAGTGAACTCTGCTCATAGTCATAAAAAAATGATTGTACAGTTTGCAGATATTTGAGGGCAGTGGCCTCTTAACTAGGTTTTTAATGTTCAAACGAGCACTTACTTTCACACTTTATTTTACTGTTTGTTTCTTGTACAGGCAATGAGATCTTCTCAGAGTTTGTTGCCATGGTAGGGTTTTTGTTTGTTTGTTTTCTTCAAAAGCACTCTAAGCCTTTAATTTGCCATTTAAATGGCAAAGGTGACGTAAAGAAAAGAAGAAAAAAAAAAAAAAACATGTGAAATGCAACAAGTAGCCCTTCTAGCACAAAGAGGTATTTCTTGCATTTCACATATTAATTACTTCAAAATAGTAGACGTTTCTTATAAGGGTATAGAATGTCTTCCTCCCCCTTAAAACTTAAAGAAATAATTTGAAAGGTTGTCCTATAAAATGTTGTGATGGTTGTTGTTTTTTACTTTTTTTTTTCTCCTCGTTCGCTGCCCTCCTGTGCCTTTGGGAAACTTTGCCAGACCGGAGTTGCTGAAACAGAACTGAGATGCAATGATGGGTACAGTTCCCCGAAGGGTGTTACTTCCCCACTCTTCCTGTAATTACCATGTAACGAGGATGCTGTACAGCTGTCGGTTTTACCTGTTGTCTTGCAAGGGGATCCCCGACTCGCTGGGAATTGGAGTGTTGCAAACAGTGCCTTCTCGGTGGCCTCCTTGCTGTCCCGAGGCGCGTCAGGATGATTGTCACGCGTGTGCCATACGTAACAGCCCGTCTCCTGTGAAGGCTTCTGGTTTTGAAAGAGAGCTTTCCTCCGTGGTCAGAATCTCTGTTGCCCTTAAAGGAAAAAAATGTATATATGCCCATAAGAATAAATAAATAAATAAATAATCACTTTATTTAAAGAGGGTTCCCTCTCCTGGCTGGTGTGCTGTGACTGGAGACTGTTTTGCAGCCTGTGGTGTTACACAGAATATGTGGTGATAAACAGAAATAACTGTAACCTAAGGACAGCACAGATAAATGGGGGGGGGGGCTGCTTGTGCTGTTGTCTTCTTCTAAAGAGAAAAATAAAGTAAAAAAAGGCCGAAGTGGATACTAGTGGGGGGGGAGGGGGGCACAGCTCCCCGTTCCGATCCTGTAAGCGTGCAGCGGCTCCGCTCCGTGCCCGCGCTCTGCAGCCCCCACGGGCGCTGTCGGGGGCCGCGGCCGCCGTTACTGACCGCTCCGCTCCCGCCGCCCTCCCCTCAGCACGGCCCGGCCGCAGCCGC